GTTGTGAGCCACCATGTGGGTGCTGGGAATTGAACTCAGGACCTCTGGAAGAGCAGCCAGTGCTCTTAACCTCTGAGCCATCTCTCCAGCCCCTTGACTGGATTCTTTTGTGTAGGATAATGTATGATGTTGCAGCAAGTATCAATACTTCATTTCCTTTTTTGGGAGTGTTCATAGTGTGTGTGTGTGTGTGTGTGTGTGTGTGTGTGTGTGTGTGTGTGTGTTGTTATATACTTGGATGTATATGGGTCTGTGTGCCTATGTGCCTGCACACAGAGGCCAAAAAAATGATGTGGAATATCCTATCATTCTCTGGCTTAGTCCCTTGAGACAGTGTCTCACTAAATGTAGCCAGCTCACCAGCTAGCTCTTGGGACCCACTGTCTCCAATCTCCCATTCTAAGCAGGTGTACAGGTCCCTGCCTGTGTTTTATATAGATGTTAGAGATTTGAGCCTAGGTCCTCATGCTACCCACTGAGCCATCTCCCTGTGTAGGTGGATTTTTCGTCTGGACTATTGGCTAATTATTAATTGTTAATCAATTATTTATTAATTATAATTATGAAAGCTTAGCTGATAATTTAGGCTTGTTTCTAACTAGCTTTTCTAACTTAAATTAACCCATATCTTTTAATATACGTTCTTTTATGTGGCTCTGCTGCTTCCTTCACATCTCCTGGTGTCTCCACCCTTCTTCCCAACATCCTCTGTGCCTAGAAATCCTGCCTAGCTATTGGACATTCAGCTTTTTATTATACCAATCAGAGTGACATATCTTCACAGTGAACAAAATGATTATTCCACAACATCCCCATGTCAGCATTTCCTTTTTTTTTTTTTTTTAAATGAGACAAGGTCTTACTATATCAACCTGGCTGGTCTAGTACTTGCTATGTATCTCAGGCTGGCCTGAGACTCACAGACATTCTCTTGCTGCAGCTTCCTGAGCACTGAGATTACAGGTATGTGCTGCCACACTTTTTATTTGCTTTTAATGGTAAATAACAATTCACTGCATTGGTGTCTGATCTTTTATTTACCCAATCATGAGTTTGGCTCAACTTCCTGAGGGGTTCAGCTGGAGTTCAGGGAGTAGACTGTTGGGCTGAGGGGTGCTCCAGGCTGAATGAAGGATGTGGTTTCAGGGTTAAGCACCAGGCATCATGTTGATGAAGTGCCCACTGCTGGGGGCTGACACTGAACACGCTCAGGCTCCATCTGTGTCCCACCGCTGGTGTCTGCATGTTAAGTGAGCTTTCCTTTGTCCCACACGAGCTGTTTCTAGAGGACACTAGAAAGCCGCTTCAGCTGTGTGATTGACCCAACCGAATGGTCTTAGTAATTTCCATAGAAAAGCAAAGAGGCCCCTGAGTCTGTGTCCTGCTCAGAACAGCATCCAGCACCTCCCAGGCTTCTGCCGCTCTCTGCTATGTCCTGGTTGTGTCCAGGAGCCCTGTTCCCAGTCCCCTCCATCCCTGATTACACCACTCCCACTCAGTGGCTTCCCCTGCTCTTTCTTCCTCCCGCTCGCCCTCTTCTGCCCTTTTTCTCTTTCTTCTCTCCTTCCCCCTCTCTCCCCCTCTCTTTCTCTTCTCTCTCTTTTTCTTTCTTAACTTTTTTGAGACTAGGTTTCTCTTTGTAGCCCTGACTGTCCTAGAACTCATTCTGTAGATGAGGCTGGCCTCAAACTCACAGAGATCCACCTGCCTCTGTGATTAAAGGCGTGTGCCACCACACCTGGCTCTCCACTGTTTCTTGACTCTCAAAGCTCATACCAGTGTGGTGTAAGACTTGAGTCTCCCTTGGGCCTGTGAGACCAGAACCTTCGTTACTCTCACTCACCTCATAGAACAGCTGCTCTGTGCCAGTGACAGGGGCCTGTAGAGGGTGGAGAGCAGATTGTAGGAGACAGGAAAAGAGGGTCAACAAGGTTTGTTAAACCTCACTGAACAGGTAGTAGCTTGAGCCTGGATTCTGGTCTCTGACAGGCTAGACCTCACTTCCCTGTGTCTATTTTCACCATTTCCTCTCAGAGTGAGCAGCTTTCTGAGCACCAGCTTTCATGTCAGGATGACACCCTTGTCCCTACCCTGGTTTGCATAGCCCACACCCTCATTAATCCTGGACCCCTGGATAATGCCCCATCCATTCTGTATCTGTTAGATTCTGGCATTCCTCTCAGATGGATGGGGAACCCCAGGACAGGGAGAGGGTGATGTATTGCCCTTTAAAGAACAGCCTAATGCTAGAGGGGTAGGTGGGATAAACATCTCTTGGTATTAGGAGGGGGTGGGTCTGGTTGTGATGGGGGCAACAACACCCTGATCCAAGCCTTTGTGAGGGGAGGAGAATGACTTACCAGGGAGGCAGGGCTGTCTGAGAGTCTATGGCCTGTAGAGACCCACAGAGGTTTTCTAGTGAGAACTTACTCAGGGTCTGAGAATCTGAGCTTGCTTTACCCAGCAGGGCTGCATAAGGGCATGGCTTGACCATGGGCATGGTTGCCAGGTGTTTGAAAGGGTTTACACTTGGCTGTGCATTGTACTTTGATCTAGCAAGGGAGGGGGGAGGTCTTTTGCCCCACCCCTTGGCATTGTTATATAAAGCCCCCTTGAAGAGGCAGATGGGGACGGTGGGTTTTGATCCAGGTCCTCCCGAAGCTATTCTGTGTTTCTGTCTTTTTCCTCTCTGCTATCTTTCTATCCAAAAGTTTCTTATTCCTCTCTATTCCTCATAGGAACCCTTTAAAAGGTGGGAGCTGGCCTCCCACAATGGCCTAGAGGCCAAGACAAGAGTTATGGAGGATGTCAGGAGGACTGACTCATCCTTCAGGAATGACAGCATCAGGAGAGACTGCCTTCTAGAAAGAGACCCTGTTACTACTATTTCTAGAATTTACCGAAGTCAAAGCAAGCTCCTTGTGTCCAGGAAACAGTAAGACTTATGGCCCCTGCACACATGGATTCTGTTTTCCAGCTTTGAACTTGTATAGTCTGGATATGTCATTATGTGGAGTTATGTAATGAACTCCATTCTGTGTCTGGCTTATCTCACTAAGCAGTGTGCCTTCAGGTTTATTGAGAACTTTAGCTCTTCAACATTTATTGGGGTTGGGGATTTAGCTCAGTGGTAGAGCGCTTGCCTAGCAAGCATAAGGCCCTGGGTTCGATCCTCAGCTCTGGAAAAATTAAAAACAAAACCAACCAAAAAAACAAACAAACAAACAAACAAACAAAAACCATTTATTAATTATTCATTCATTCATTGTGTGTGTGCCACAGCTTGTGTGTGTGTGTGTGTGTGTGTGTGTGTGTGTGTGTGTGTGTGTAGGTTCCAGGACAACTTTGGAGAGTCTGGTCTCTCCTTCCACATTGTTTTGGCAAGGTCTCTCTCTTTTTTTTTCTGCTGCTATACTGTCTACTTCAGGCTAGCTGGCCCCATGTACTTTTGAATGATTTTTTAAAAAATATTTATTTATATCTTATATATGAGTGCTCTGCATGTATACCTACATGCCAGAAGAGGGCATCAGATTCTGTTGTAGATGGTTATGAGCCACCATGTGGTTATTGGGAATTGAACTCAGGACTTCTGGAAGAACAGCCAGTGCTCTTAACTCCTGAGCCATCTCTCCAGCCCTCTTGAATGATTTTCTTGTCTCCTCATATCTTGCCTTAGGAATTTAGAAATTCCAGATGCAGGCCACTGCATGTGATTGTGAGCTGCCATGTGGGTGCTGGGAATGGAATGTAGGTCATCTGGAGGAGCAGCCAACAATGCTGCTAATGATTCTCTTAGCCACAGAATCATCTCTCCAGCCCAGAGTTACATAGTTCTTTGTATACTATGGACATGAAACTTCTTTCAGATATTTAATTTACTGATAGTTTTTTTTTTTTACTGTTATAAAAATACCCATTATTATAAAAGATTTAAATCTTTGTCTTGTTTTTTGAGACAGGGTTTCTCTGTTTAGACCTAGCTGTCCTGGAACTCTGTAGACCAGGCTGGTCTTGAACTCACAGAAATCTACCTGCTTCTGCCTTCTGAGTGCTGGGATTAAAGGTGTGCACCAGGAAAGGCACAAAGCTACACAGAGAAACCCTGTCTCAAAAAAACCAAAAAAATCAAAAAAAAAAAAAAAAGGTGTGCACCACCACCCAGCAATATTTTAAATAATTTTAAAATATGAATCATTTCTTTTCTTCTCCCCCCCCTTTTTTTTAAATTGAGACAGGGTTTCTCTGTATCACCCTGGTGTTGTTCATGCTTCTGTGTCATTTACTAAGAATGCTTGACAAATATATGCCCAGAAAGTTTAGCTCTGTGTTTTATTATAAGAGGACTTAAAAATGGGTGTAGAGACAAAAAGGCCAATAATAAAGGCAGAAATGTCCATGTTAGTAATTAGCCCCTGATTTCTTAGAGCTGAATCCTTGTGATTTGTGATTCAAACATCTTACACAGGGCTGGAGAGACGGCTCAGAAGTTAAGAGCACTAGCTGCTTTTCCAGAGGTCCTGAGTTCAATTCCCAGCAACCCATGGTGGCTCACAACCATCTGTAATGAGATCTGGTGCCCTCTTCTGGCATGCAGGGATACATGCAGGCAGAACATGAATAAATAAATCTTAAAAAACAAAACAAAACAAAAACCTACCAAACATCTTACATAAATATCTAGAGCTTAACTACCAACAACCCAGAGTTCCTCAATCCAAATGCCAGTCTAAAAAGACAGCTGTGCAAGTTACTTTCTTTCCAAAGGCAGTGGGCTGCCTGCTTATATATCCAGCTAGGACCTACACAGATGCCACTGAGAATTGGTGAGCTGGAGCTGTGTGCCCCCACAGCATGTTTTCCTTAATCTTTGCTATACTGTTCTGATCTTGTAAATACTTTCATCCTCATGCCTTTCCTTTGGCTGTCACCATTCTCCTTGCAGGATGTGTGGGTGTTAATGCTTCTATTCAACTCACTGGTCTGCTTTGCATTGTTTAATAGAGAGAGCAGTTTCCAGAAACTGCATTATTCAGCTGCTCAGAATTTGTGTGGAAAAGACTATTCTTCCTCTGTACACTTGTCAAAGGTCATATGACCAGAATTTTATTTACTTCTTCTCAGTTGCGTTCCTTTGGTCCATATGTGAATATATATATATTTTTTTAGATTAAAAAAATATTTTTCTGGGCAGTGGTGGCACATGCCTTTATTCCTAGAACTTGGGAGGCAGAGGCAGGTGGATCTCGGTGAATTCCAGGCCAGCCTGGTCTACAGAGAACAGTCCAGGACAGCCATGACTATACAGAGAAATCCTGTCTTGAAAAACCATTTTTTTTTTACTTTGTGCATATGAATGTTTTGCTTACATAAATGTATGTATACTGTGTGTGTGCCTGTTGGATCCACAGGAACTGGGGTTATGGATGATTGTAAGCCACCATATGTGTGCTGGGAATCAAACTCAGGTCCTCTCCATGAGCAACATGTACTCTTAAGCACTGGGCCATCTCTCCAGCTTGTATGTGAATCCTTAAGCAAGTGTCACGGCAGTTTTATTACCACAGCACCATAGTAAGTACATTAAGTGTTCAACTGAGGAAATGTGGGTCCCCAGTTTTGATTTTGTCAAGATGGCTTTGGATGTTCTGTTGTGGAATATTAAGGTGTGTTTCATTTGTTCATGCTGTGAAATATTTAATGATGCAAAGACATGTTACATTTGTTTGATTAAATAAAGTTAACCTGCAGTTGGGAGGTTGAGTCAGCAACTAGCTGATAGGAAGTGTAGCAAGGGTTCTTAAGAGGGGGTGGAGCAGAAGGAGTTTTGTTTTTTTGGGAGACGTGAGCTAGGAGAGGAGGTTAGCTACTTGCTATTCAGCCTCCCTGAGCGAGCAGAATTTCACCTCAGCCTTTGAATCCTGAGTTCTTTAGAAGAAGAGATATCTAGATAAAGTTCCCTTTAGGGGCTGTGATAGAGCTGGTGCTTGAGGGACCAGAATCCCTGCCTGGCTATGGTCATTGTGGCTGAACTGCTACTGGTAGCTGTGGAGTTGCATCTGCCAATTAGGACAGCAGTGGCTTAAGGGGCAGCTACTGAATTTAATGAAAAAACAACAATGTCTTTATGTTTTTAAAAAAAATATGTTGTTCAGTGGTTTTTCTTTTTAATGTATTTGGGTGTTACTGTGTAGCTTTGGCAGACTTGGAATTCACCATATAGAACAAGTGGCTTCTTCTCAGACTAGTAGCAATTCTCCTGCCTCTGCCTTTGAGTACTGGGAATGCAAGCATGTACCATCATACTCAATTCAATGGCTTAAAAGTTATTGTTGTAGGTTATTTATTATTATTATTATTATTATTATTATTATTGTTATTATTGTGTATGTGTTGCTTATGGGAAGGTCAAAAGACAACTCTTGGTAGTTGGTTCTCTCCTTTTACCATGTGGGGTGGAGGGACTGAAGTCAGGTCATTACGCCTGCACATCTACTGTCTTTACCCACTTAGACCTCTTGTTACTTTCCCAGATTTTTTTTTTTTTTTTTTTTTTTTTTTTTTTTTTTTTTTTTTTTTTTTTTTTGCTCTTCGAGACAGAGTTTCTCTGTAATCCTGGCTGTCCTAGAACTCATTTTGTAGACCTGGCTGGCCTCAAACTCACAGAGATCTGTTGTTCAAATCC